TTCTCGATTCGAATACCCGTTCCGGTATTTCATTTTAAAAAACCCGCTCGATTCGGTTTGGTTCGGACATTTTGCCAGCCCTATAGTGAGAGCCTTTATCCTGGTCAGAGGAGGAGGAGTTATCAAATGCCTAACATTCAAATAGTTGACCACATCCAAATTTATGAGGTGCCATGAATGTTTCCCAGTCGTCGTTCCATTTTACCCAATCACCCCCAACTTTTGCTAAGCGTGTGGATCTTCTTAACCCGTTAAGTTTACTTGGATAAGTTTCTCTATCCAAATGGTCGCTCAAAAAATATTCACACTAAGGTCAATGACAACTATGAGTGCTTCAAGACAATCGTATCATTTTTTAGCACTCTGTTTATTGATTAATACTACGCAAAGAAAAAGAAAGAAATTAAAATCTTCGTCATTTTAGTGTTGAGTCATATTCATACTATATACCGAACATGTTCTAATAATTATTGCTTTTGGTTTAAAAAGTCCGATCATTCATAAGACTTCTCTTTCATTTTTCTTTCATTTCTATCGATTCACATCAATCCCAATGATTTTAGCTGCCCATTGAGTTTGGGCTCCAGAACAGGGAGTAAAAACTAGGTTTACGAGTGCACAAGAACAACAAATGAGTTTAGTTACTAATGGAATATATTATCTCATGGTGGATCCCAAATTTTTGGGGTTTACATGTTTTATTGGAAGCACCTTGTAGGGATTATACAGCCCCCAAAACACAAAGTAATACAGAAAATAGAGATGAACACAAAGGATTTTTCGCCCTAAGGCTCGAATGTTCACCCGAAAATTAGGGCTAGTCACCCGTTGAGCATTCACCGAAATGATTAATGCTCCAATCCACTAAAAACCAACAATATATCAAGATCAAGGTTACAATACCACATATCCACAAAGGATCAGCCATCAGACCCAAGAATCTCTCACAGAAACACTCGAAAAAACGATTACACCAAGTAACCAAAGGTAAACCAAATTAAGTCTTAATCAAACATTAGATCTCACCAAGAAACACCTAGATCAAAGATTACAGACGAAAACGAAAGGTTTTCAAATAGAGGGAGAAACGAGAGAGCCAAAAAGTAAACCCTAGAGTGATCTCGAACCTCTAGAATGAAGAGACTAGCCAAAATAATATCAACTGGTAGAAGCATCCAACGGTCATAGCTCATCCATGTGTCACAATCTCAGCCCTTGAGATAAGTGATGAATTGGGCTACCAGGTTGCATTCAAATGGGCTGGCTATCTCACAAACAGCAATGGGTGCATTATAGGGCCCATATATTATAGAATTGGGCTGCCACAATATTAAGCCAAATTTTTAAACACCAAGTTTACAATCTTCTCCTTGATTAACAATTTGGGTTTCATAGTGACTTAAACGTTAACTCCTACCTCAGCTTCATTTGCTCTAGGTACCTGCAAAAATATTAATTAGTAATGACATTTAGGAGATTTAAACAATCCCGAAATTTGTATAAAGGAAGAATCTTTGTACCCATGTTTGAAGGATTACACTTAGTAGAGATT